ACCTGCTTATAGTTTGAAACAAGTGATATAACCATCTAACATTTGATTCTTTCCGTGTGACCCGTGTGGCACTCCGTCAAAATACAAATATCTGGAACCAAAGTGATCCCTCGGAAGCATAAAACAGCAAAATTACATGATGATTGCAGACTCGGTTTGATTGAGTCTGTACATGAAGGATACTGAAAAATTGCAACATTCCGCACGCGCCCTAGCACCGGCTGAGCTTTACTTCATTCTCAACACTGAATAGTGCTGGACTCAATGATTCCTAAGGACAAAAAAAAATTAACAACACTGAAGTGAAGTACGGGGTAACTTTTTATGGCTGCCACACAGCACTTGACACGTGCTGTTGTGATGTGTAAATAGCTGGAACCAAAGTGATCCCTCAGAAGCATTAAAAACAGCGAAATTACATGAAAATTGCAAACTCAACACATCGATAATTTTGGACTTTTCTTTTATATATGTAATCGGGTCGAGTGTGTTTTTCTAAAGTCGACCAGTTCATACAATAAGAGATGTTATATTTCCGTGTCATTGATGGCATGACATAATTGTTGTGTTTATGATACTTTTAGTTATTTTCTTTAGGCTTGTTTGTTAGTTAGGTTGTTCTAGCTAGTAATTTCTTACTTGGATACAGATTAATATACTGCCTGCAATTTTTTTTTCAAATTTGTCTTTTGACAGCACATCTTTTGATATACAGGATTCATATTCACAATTCCAATCTATTAGTTTCTCCCATGTGTTTCTTCGTTTAAGACATACACATTCTTTTACTTGCAGGACATATGCCGCTTTTCATGGAATTGGCATTAACAGATGTTTATATTTGAAGATTCCATGGAAAACGCCTGACGAACACATCTGCGGAATGTTTCAAAATTCAAAAGTTTTATGATTTCATGTTTAAATGTTGAATTTTCTGCTCGGGGCGTGGACGGTAGCTTGCATTTTCAAGTACACTACAGTCCACGGATGACGAACAGGCTCAATCAAAGCAAGTCTATAACTTTTTTATTTTCCGTTTTGCACGTTCTTTTGCGATTCTATTTCTCTCTATTTTACCAGTGAACGTCCCATATTTATATGTTATTATTTATCTATTTTTATGAAGCATATCGAACCATATAAATCATGTATATACTTTACTCAAACATATTACTCACACATAAAATGATTCAAGACGAAGAATTTAAGTAAAATATCAAAACATTAAAATAATGATGTTATTGAAATAATTTTGGCTATAACAAATACCATAACAATTAATTAATTGGCATGTCATTTGTATTTGTTTAAATAGATGACTCAAATTATACTTAACTTTTACTCTGATGTGATGGTAAATGGGAGATAACCCCTATAAAAATGTGCTTAGTGCGTACACTGGTTATGCTATCTTGATAATGTTTATACATGTATGTGTGCAACGTTAACTTAACTGTTTTCTTTCAAATTTTACAATATTGATATAAACGAATTTATAATGCTATATATTTGTCAGTTAGTAAGTAATAAATGTATATATTTTAGTTAACTAAGCTTTATATTTTGTATACTGTTTATTGGATTACCTATAATTACGGTATGCTAAAACTATGAAAACAAATAAAATATTCGAACCTTCTCAGCAAAATATCTGCTTATTTGTATTACAAGATTGACAATAAACTGTTGACTATAAATTGCATGTGATTTAAAAAGTATGTACATGTTATGTTTTTGTCTTATGTTACGTTGCGTTACGTTACATTCCGTTATATTATATTTTGTATGTGTATGAACGCACAATTATTATACATGTATATACATATGTATTTTGCTACTGCTACTGCTGTGCTACTGCCAAGTGTACGTTTTATAAATTTGCTACTGCATCTACTGCTACTGCTAAGTGATATTATTAACATTTTAGCATTAGAATATAATTTTTAATAGGCGCCATCCTATTCTATTCAATCTGCTTTGATGTAAGAAACCAGTTATTTGGAAATAACCACATCTGATATCTTTGCATATATCTTCGAATCAGTGTATATATCAACATAAAAATGCTATACTAAATGTACCTCTGAAAATAAGTACAGACACTCTTGTTAATTTACATGCTTCTCAGAAAAAAAAAATGAATTTTCACCATGTTTATATTTGCATATTTGAAATTGTTGTTCAGTGTTTGCCCATATAAATTTCATTTACATGTGCATTGATCAAAAGTCTGTACTTGCTGATTGGCAGGATGAAAAAAGAAACCCGATTAATACTACCAACCACAGAAAATATCATGAAAGGATGAAAACATAGAAAATTATATGTATATACATGTATTAAATGTAAGTTACGTACCTTCGTCGTCCAGTTTGTAAAGTGGAGAAAAGATATACACCATAATTATACACATCATTTAATGATAAATTACAACGTTATGTTCGGTCATGACATCAATTGAGCCGCGTCACGACAATACCAACACAGTGCGTTTCCGACCAGCATGGATCCAGACCAGCCTGCGCCGCCGCACAGTCTGATCAGTTAACAACTCTATTACAAGTAGAGAAACTGATAGCGAACAGCATGGATCCTGATCAGACTGCGCGGATGCGCAGGCTGGTCTGGATCTATGCTGGTTGCAAACCCACTATGTTGGTTTTGTCGTGACGCGGCTCAATTATATGAAGTATTCAGAAGTTTCAGCCAGCATTACAAAAGCAAACGATTCGATTGTAAAATTAAAATTTCTATAAAAATACAATGACATATCTGATGAAAAAATTTATATAAAATTGTCTTTTTCTTTCTAAAACATGTCTCTCTATAATTAAGAATGAATGGTTTTCTAAATACCGTAAGTGTTATTTTTTAGTAATTGATGTTGAATAACAAAATGAACACTGAAAATCGTCATGTTGTGGAGTTGTAATACATGTTAAAGCTAAATGATTGTTGAAAATATATTATTCATGTCACTGCTCAGCTATTTCTGTGCTACTGCTACTGCTGTGCTATTGCTAACTGCTGTGCTACTGTTACTGCCAATTTTACGTTTTATTATTTTGCTACAGTTACTGCTTTGCCAATACTACTGCCAATTTCACGTTTTTAATTTTGCTATTGTTACTGCTGTGATACTGCTACTGCTAATTTCACGTTTCATACTGCTGCTGCTGCCTCTTCCCATGCATCAAATCCAAATATTGTGTTACCAAATACTTTAATAACGTCAAAACAAACAGTGTCCTGTCTATTGCATATTGCTTAATGTCTATTGCAATGACATTGGTTAAAGAACTATAAGTTTGAATGTTTGTGTATTTACTCATAGGTGGTAGTCACATAATAAATGTGAGGCACGCATCCAGGCTATCTCAAAACTGTGTTCACTGTGACTATATAAAAACCTGGTTTTAATAAAGGATCGATCTTTTTATTCTTGACTTTACTACTTCTGGACCGAATAACATGCCCGATTTCGAAATATTCACTGTATATGCCTTGCTGGGGCTTGAGCGGTCAGAGAATCCTAGCGTATAAGGCGTATACCTTCCACCAAGTACCTCACGATCGATTGGTGGCTGGTATCCAGGATAATAAGTATGCCCTAAACATTAAGTAGACCATCCTGGCATGTATACCGTCCTCTCGGATCCTGGACATTGGCCCTGTTTTGCATGGAGGATGGTGAACCGGCCCTTTTTGCTTGTGGCTTGAGCCTTCAATAATCCTCACGCCATATCCCGGCCTAGCTAGAATATACCACAGGGACTCGAGTGGGCGCTTGACAAGCAGAGATCAACCTTTTTTGACTATCCTTAGCCATTAATCATATATGATGTTATAAATTTATGAAACAATAATTTGATTGTGCTCGGTCATATGGCTTTAAAGCCAACCAATTTGAATATACAAGGGGGCATTCGTGACCGAAAAAAATGGTTAATGTTTTCGACTCGCAAGCACTTACCCCTAACCGACTTGTTGTTTGAATACCGGAAAACGAATTTCGTATTGCTTAAGTGGGAAAGCGGGGTTGGTTCCAAGCAAGTGCCCGTTTCGGGTATGAAAATGACCAGGGTGGCACCTGGGGTCTTACTCCACCAAGAAAGCTGAACGTCTAGTTGGTCATATGGGAAAACATTTTCCAACATAAAACAAACATTAGATAGTGACTGTGTATTGTGTACTACTTACTGTTAAACTTCTTATAATACGTTAACACATTCCTAATATTTTGCTGACATTGCAAACGACTGTGTCGATCTAGCTTTCCTGTCTTTTGTTTACTGCCTACGCTACATGCTGCTTACTACTAACGTTAACAGTAACAGCTAAATTTACTGTCCACTGCCGATTACTATTTCTTTCTGTTTCAAAGTCATACAACCTATAAAGAACTTTATTGTCCGCTGAAATAGTTGCAGTCTCTGTGCTTTTATATATAGATGTCTCAAGAAGCCATCCTTGTTTATTTTTACTGATTCTATACAGTTAAGTTATGCTAACTTGCTTCTTAGAATTATGCAATTATAACAGAATTCAATAGTAGAAAAAAAGCAAAGTATGTAAAAAATATCTTTTTTAAACATAAATGTGATTATCATAAACAAGAACCCATATTGAAGCTTATTATTTGCCTATTTATGGATTATTATAAGCAAATATCAAAGGGTTTTCCTCTTCAATAAAGGAAAGATTTCACGCAAAATCAAATATTCACATTTTTTCCAACGGGTTTGGCAGGCGGCATCTTGGACGGCCATCATGGATTGTTGAGCCAAATGAAAATCCATTTCGGAAACTAAAGACCTAGTATATAAAACTTGTTTTTGGCTGACATAAACCACTTCGCTGTCATTGTACCCTTTTTGCAGCACTAATAAGTGTGCACGTGTAAAGGTCTCATATTTGCGTCTACTTTGATACGATATTCTGCTGAAAATTTCAGTAACTAAATTTTATTTAGAATCATAATATTATATTCAATTTATTGAACTTCATAAGAAAGACAAATTTAATAAGCATGCCAAATAAAACCTGAAAGTGCGTTATAAAATTATTCTTGGCAGCCTTATGGCATTGATGTGACACAACCTTTTCAGCTCACCTATCACAGTGACGTGGTGAGCTATTGTGATCGCTTTTTGTCCGGGGCCCGTCTATAAACTTTTACTTTAAAAGACAACTCCTCATAAACTGCTTTGTCAATTTTATCCAAACTTCACAGGAGTGTTCCTTTGGTCACGGATTAATATTGTAATATAAATCCGTGCTTTGGTGGTCACCTTTAAATTATAAATATATATAAAGACTGTCCCACTCTTTTTATAGAAACATTCCGACGGATAATTACACGCACAAAAGCAAAGAAACATCAATATTTAAATATTATTATTTCATTTAAGCGCGGTCCGCCTCGTCTCGAGTCACGGTCCGTCCTGTCCCAAAATACGGTCCATCCCGTCCAAACAAACGGTCCGCTTTTATACGGTCCGCCCTGTCTCACGGTCCGCCTTGTCCGTAATTCGTCAAAACATTTCCGAATGAAAGATAACAACATCCGGTGAAGAAAGGCAACAAAAATGAAGTTATTTTACAGCAAATAACAACAACAGGATAAAGAATTTGCAATATATTGATGACATGAAGACTCTTAAATTGTGGGTTCACAAAGGAGAGTACACTGGCAAACAAGGTTTAATCTTTGTACTCCAATTTAACATTTGTCACTAGTTTTCACGACATGACCTTTTGCAATCTGGGTTTGGGTTGGGACATTGGGGACTATAACATGACCTCTAAATATAATAAAAATAATCATTTATTTAAAATTCATGCATGTTTACAAAGGATAGTGTTAATGTAGCTTAAGGTCTTCAGCGTACCCGTTTATATATATGAAATGACGTGAACGCTGAAGATAACCCCGTAGGAAAAGTCCACCAATAATCGTGCCAGGAATCTGACACGCTCGTATTTATTTATCGAACATGCCACGAAGTAAAGTGAAGCATACCTTGATAAAACGATATATAATCTGTTGATAAGCCAAGGATGGACAAATAAAAATCTTATTTGGAACATAAACTACCTAATAGTTTCCGACAGGTAAAAATTTCGGCACTTGGCCGCCATTTTGCCAAAATGTTTGACCACGTGATTACGAGATTGACCTTTATGAACCCATGTGCCTCCAATATTTTTATAGATTACTTTTTTATAAGATGTTGAAAAAGGTTATTTACTGACTGTTATATTCAATAAAATCATATTTAAATACTAAAAAATTTATGAAAATAAATAAAAACATTATCTTGAATAAAAATATCGAAATCATGTCAACAAAATGTTCTAAATATAGTACACAACTCTATTCAAATCTGTTCCCGCGAATGACGTCATACGAGGTCTCGCGTGGCACTTGAATGTCATGGCCGACTGTAGTCAGCGAAAATTGATGTTTTACAGTTAAATTGGCAATTTTAATGACGGTATTAATATTTTATTACTTGAATTGGTATAGAACGATATTTAAATAATTGTTTTACTGTAAATTGCACAAGAATTGATCGGGTCAAGTGTATTTGCAAGTGAAAAACAAGAATAAATCTAATTATGTTATTCTGGTTAGGTTTCGTAACGGGTCTAATCCAAAACTTTAATGACGCATCTGATGAAAAACAAAAATGTTGAAAAGCGGCTTATAAAGTTTTGGAAGCCAGAACTAGTGTTAATGGAATCACTGTCATGATTGTAAATTAATATGAAATTAGGCACGGGGAAGTCGTTAAAAATTCCTTTCATTCTTTCCGTTTTAAAGGTGTCATTCGGTATTACATGCACCGCATCCGTTTTTACTCGGAATACTCGATGATTATCTTTTATCCGAAAAGTTGAGATTTGTTCCGTTATCGGAATACCCCGCCTATTATCATTGAGTTACATTGTAAATGGCGGTGCCCGACTAGAACTGACACTGAAAATTTCTTTGATAGGTATAGAATTCTATATATTTTTTAATTGTTTTTTATTTGTTCTTTTAAATATACACGTGAAGTCTATAGCCGGGCAAGCCAAAGCCCGGACCCGCTTCGCGGGCCCGGTCTTTGACTTCCCCGTATAATTATTTTATGAAGATTTTTTCTTTTCTGCTAGTGCTACTGGTAGGCACACTGAAACATTCACTTTTAAGGCAGTTTACACCCTTCATACAGTTTTCACCCTTCAGACAGATTACACCTTTTAGACAGATACAGATTACACCCTTCAGACAGTTTACACCCTGACAGTTTACACCCTTCAAACAGTTTACACCCTTCAGACAGTTTACACCATTCAGATAGATTACACCCTTTAGACAGTTTACACCCTTCAGACAGTTTACACCCAGACAGTTTACACACTGCAGACAGTTTAACTCTTCAGACAGTTTAACTCTTCAGACAGTTTACACCCTTTAGACAGTTTACACCCTTCAGACAGTTTACACCCTTCAGACAGTTTACACCCTTTGGACAGTTTACACCCTTCATTCCAAACTGGGAGTGAAGCATCTTGAAAAATCTCTGAAATAGGCAAATATACATATAAATTGTAAATTCTTCTTTTCTCCTCAAAGTCACATTCTTTCACCAATAAAACTTATAAATTCCATGTGGAAGTGAAATTGTATAACCACAGATATAATGATATATATACAATGAATAGGAAGCTCCGAAAATTGATGACAGTCAGAATCAGACTCACAATCCTTTGCATGCTTTGATGATGATTGGGGTTTCACGCTAGTCTCCAATTTTTGTGCTCTCAATAAATTTCAACAATATCCATGAATTATTATTTACATTGCCGACATGGATTTTTATCGTGGAAAAATGTGTATTATACGTTTTAGAATAAATAACTGTTGCTTCTTAAAGAAGTAGAAAATGCTACGTTTTTTGTCAATGTACCTTTAGGAATTCAATATGGCGGTATTTTGGCTATTTTTACCTAGGATGCATCAAATCTCAGAAAACCCTGCGACATATGATAACTTGCGTGAGCACAATTTCCACGATACTGAATTTAACTGTGTGACATCACAGTTTCTTCTCCATCAATATTTAGCTCCATGGTATAACAATGACAGTATACTGAATATATATAAAAGTTACAAAAGTAGTCATTACCTGAATACACAATTATGGGCCTAGTTGAACTGTGCCAAGTTTGTATAGGGCTGAGAATTGACTCGGGGGAACAAATAGTTTTAGGGCCAAGTTGGCCAAGAATGGTAAAAGGGTTATAATAAAGATAAAATGCAGTGTCTTTTTCTCCCACGCTTTTTTGAAGAAAAAGGGGGATATAGAAATAGGATCCGTCCGTCTGTCCGTCCGCACCACCAAATGGGAAAACGGAGCCATCTTACTGTAAACAGAATAAAAGAGAACAATAGAATTCATTCAGTAACAATAGAATAAGGGGCCAAGGCCCTCTATTAAACAAACGAAAACAACAATAGAAATTGTCTTTTATCCCTTTTCAGTCGGATGTTCATCCGTCTGTCCTACCATCACATTTTCGTGTCTGGTAAATAACTATGTTATTTATCAAAGTAATTTGATGTAACTTGGCATTTTAGGGATATAAGACGATGTGTCATGTACAAAATTGAACCCCTACCTTCAAGGCTAAGGTCACACCTGGTGATTAAAGGTCAATATTGTCTATTTGATAGTATGTGTGCAAAAACCATTCACCTATCTCCAAGGTCAAGGTGACATTTGAAGGTCGAGTTATAACATAGTCTGTCTGTTTTAGGATAAATTTTGATTCCAGTGCATAACTTTCTCATTAATCAAGGGATTTTGAAAATACTTGGCATAAATGTTGACAATGATAAGACAATATGTCATGTATAACACCTGTAATCTCCAAGGTCAAGGTCACACTCAGAGAGAGGTTAAAGCTTAACATGGTCTTTTTTAGGATATTTTTTTGTGTTCAGTCCATAATTTTTTTTTATTATTTAGGGGATTTTGAAATTACTGGGCACAAATGTTCTCAATAATGGGACCATGTGCCATATGGAACAGCCAGACCCCAACCTTCATTGTCAAGATCACACCTGAGTGCCAAAGCTTATCATGATCTGTTCAAGGGTATGTTTTGCGTGTGGTTTATAACTTTTTCATCAAGGTCACTCTAGGAGGTCAGAGCCTAAAATAGTCTGTTATAGGGTATGATGCCAAGTCAAGCCCATGCAAATAAAATGTCATTGGTGAATTGCCTACATACCTTGATTGATGACTTGACATGATATATACACTGTAACATAACATATACTGTATTGATTTTGTATTTGTCACAATTACTGGCTTTGAAATAGTAAACTAGGCCTAAAATCTGTTGTTTACATGATGCCTATTAATAACTTCTTTGGCAATTTGATTATTCATTTTAGCTTATTGAAAGTAGAATGTCTGATGTCACTTTTTATACGAAGTTTGTTTTGATACCATGAACTACTTGTTTACAAAGGTGCACTTAAACAGCAGTCTAGAAATTTGATAAAAATACATTACATGTATTTGTAACTTTATCAAATATATAGTAATAATCATGTATGTAAAACTTCACTTAGGTTTGATAGCACTTAAACTTATTAAAATTGTAAATTTACAAAAATGCATATAAAGAAAAATATTTCATGAAGCATTTATTGTTTATCTTTTCAGTTGAAGAAATTGTGATCAATCCAAAAGAGATAGCTGGAATCAGTATTGGTGATGTTGTTGAAATTTATCATCCAGAGGAAGAATATAGGTAATGGTCCTAATGCAGCTAATCTTTAATTGAGCCGCATCACAACAAAACCATCATAATGCGTTTGCCACCAGCATGGATCCAGACCAGCCTGCACATCCACACAGTCTGATAAGGATCCATGCTGTTCGCTATCAATTTCTCTACTTGTAATAGTGTTTGTAAGTGAACAGCATGGATGCTGATCAGACTGCGCAGATGTGCAGGCTGGTCTGGATCCATGCTGGTCGCAAACGCGTTACGTTGGTTTTGTTGTGACGCGGCTCATATACAGGGTTCTATGAAAACAAATAAGCTAACTGACTTTTTTATCAAAGTGCTATAATTCAAATACCTGTACATTGTTACAAATTTCTTATATGCTCTCATTTTAATAAAATTATGTATTTGTTTAGTCTTATTAAATTACCTCATAAAAAACATAATTTTTATGTTCATACAATTTACAAATCAGTTTTTAGACCTTGAAGTGTTTAGAACACACTAGGTTAGTTACAAGTTAATCAATTTGTCTAAAGATGGATTTTGTTAAAAAAATATATATCTCGGAAAACAAAATCGTTCCATTTTTACTTGTTTATATTTCAGTCGGCTATTACTACAAATAAAGTCTTTTCCAGATGAGGTCCAACCTAAAGGTTTGTTGTTGTGAAAAATTTTCTTTTTCACTCCAATTTTCATAAAAATAAGTGAAGCTATTGACATTACTAAGAATTTCTCTAAGCTCAAACTCAGATCTCAGGTATTTGATTGGTCAGGAGCTGCCACAGAATGTTCACTGACCAATGAAAGTCCTGAGTTTTGAGACAGAACTATATGCCTCTGATAATCTTTTATTGCTGAGGTCCAATTACACTCACAACATTTGTAACAGTGTCTATGTAATTGTCCAAGACCTATAAGCCTAGTTTGCTTTAGATTGAATTTTGGCCCTTTGTGAGCAAAGCAAAGTCCCGGTTAAAGATTTGCATCTACTTGAAACTAAATATGCTTTTTGAATCATAATAGGATGGTTCTTCCATTATATCATACTTCTGGCCTGCAATTTGACTGGTTTATTTGAGAACTAAGAAAACTTCTTGTTCAAGTTTTTCATGTAACATTAGTCTTTAAAACCTGCTGTTGATTAATCTTGAAACTTAAGTCGTGTCTTCAAAATTATAATTGAAAGTCATTTTCCAAGATACAAAATCTCTGGTATGGATTTTGAATGAAATATGGCTCTTTATAAACTTAAAACATCCTTGATCACTATCTGAGATTAATAACTACGTCATCTATTTTAAAAGAAATCTTCTACTTTTTAATTCATATATTATCCAATGTCAAACACTGAGATTTTTTTCTCCATTTTGTTGTTTTACAGAAAACACTGTCAGTATAGAACAGTCTATAGCTAGTGCTTTTCAACTGAAAAATTATCAGAATGTTATTGTTAACAAGGTGGATAAAAAGGTAAGAAATACTAATGTAATTCAATAGATACATTAAGAAAAATGTTATTATTTATGATTTTGATTATCTAAACTTGATTAAGGTGTAAAGCTATGTCTTGTGGAATATTTATAAAATTTATCAAAAGTAGAATTATTTAATGATTTAACACTTTCCCCCATGAGCATAATAATAATATTATTGTGAAAAATGGCCGTTTTCACTGAAAAGCCTCCTGTTACAAGTTCAAATTGCTATGAAACTATGAAAAATGCTTCAATACTAATCAAACTTGGCACAAATGTTGACTAGACCATTGCCTTTGTAACGACATGCCCGGTCTTAAATTTCCTGTTAGCATGGCAACGAGGGGACATCTCAAAATTGCCAAAAATCACTATTTTCCCTCGATTTTTTCCATCAAAATTTATTTCAAAGTGCTGCAACTGCTCAAGGGTTTGAGATAGAGTCAAAAGGCTTTCAGCGTGGTTAAACGTTTAATTATGATTGACCTGGGGTCATTTTTTGCATTCCACAAGTCCAAAATTTTCTTGGCGATGAGGGGGACTCCGCCCCCCCCCCTTTTCAAAACCCCCTAACAGAAGAGGGCACATCCCCTTTCTGGCAACCCCCTGATGTATCTT